GTCCCGTCCTGCCCTGTCCCGTCTTGTCCCATCCCGTCCTTCCCTGTCCCGTCCTGCCCTGTCCCGTCCCGTCCTGCCCCGTCCCGTCCTGTCCTGTCCTGTCCCGTCCTGCCCTGTCCCGTCCCGCCCTGCCCTGTCTTGTCCTGTTCTGTCCCATCCTATCCTGTCCCGTTCCACCCCGCCCTGTCCTGTTGTGGCCACTGCCAGCACCCATCTGCTGCTTCTTTCCCTCTGCTCCTGGCGGTCCTTGTAGACGCCTTCAGAGGAGAACTTGCTGTCCAGCCTGAGCTGCTGGGCTTTGATCATATAAGTGCCTCCTGACGTCCCTAACGTTCTGTGTGTAGCACGAAGCAGAGGTGACCTCAGCCTGGAGGCTCCAGCATCCCCCTCAGGCGTTCTGTGCTGTGTACTCACACAGTCTTCTCGGAGTGTCTGCGGCGTCAGCCTCGGTGTATAAACACAGACCCCTGAGGAGCTTGTGTGGAGTCGCAGGGCCCTGCACTGCTGCTCCCAGGGTCTCGGAGATCATCTCACTTCCCCTCCTGCTGGCCTTCCTCCTGCCCGTCTCCTTGTCCCCTGTCACAGGCATGCCACGTGTGTCCCCTGTGTCCCGGGAGCTCGTGACGCGTAACGTGCTCTCCTGTGACTGGACGCTGGCAGCCCTCCTCATAGGAGGAGCGTTCGGTCTGTGGAATGAAGCCCACTCTCCTTGCCCGGTGAGTCCTCTCATGCCCTCTTCTCTCTGCAGATGGCCTCCATGAAGATGTTCCAGATTCAGTTCCACACTGGATTTGTGCCTCGGAACGCAACGACTGTGAAGTTTGCCAAGTACGTTGGCCTCACAGCACGGGGCTGTTGGCTAAGGGGACGGGCAGGGACATAGGTGCACGATCACTCCTGAGTTTTAAACAGGTGGGGTCAGTGCAGGACAAGGGTGGTGGGGTGAGGGGATGGCAGGGACAAAGGTGAGCGGTCACTCCTGACTTTTAAACAGGTGGGGTCAGTGCGGGACAGGGGTGGTGGGGTGAGGGGATGGCGGGGACAAAGGTGAGCGGTCACTCCTGACTGTCACATAGGTGGGGTCAATGCAGGATGGGCATTGGGAAGGGGATGGCAGGGACACAGGTGGATCACATGTTTGCAGTCCTGAGACCATGTCCCCAGAGGGAGCTAAGACAGTGACTTAGAAAAGTCCAAATATCGCATGTACCATTGAGTTGGATGGGTCATAGCTGACCTTTTAGTGAGTAAAAGAGGCAGTAAATTGCACAGGAGGAGATTACCCATCCTTCTGAATTGCACCTGGTGGATTTGAACCTCCTGCCTGTAGGTTTGCAGTGCAGCTCCTTCCCACTAGACCACCAGAGTGCCTTGAATGTGCCATGACCAGCTTGAGCACACTGGTGTTTGTTGCCCGTGAGTAAAGCTCTCTGCTGGCCCAGGGGAGATGTGCTGCTGTCTGGGAACTCATGGCTGACCGCCACATCTCTGCCTGCATTTCATCGCTGCCTCCTCTTCATGCTGCCACAGTGCACTTTTTCAATCCCTGTCTTCCAAACTTCAGTGTTTGGACTGCTTTTATTCTACCTGTGTAATTTGTAAGCAGGGCCTTTTAAATAACCGTGGTTATTAAATCCAATTGACTGTGACTTACTGCCTTAATAACTATGGCTAATAAGGTCTTGCTTGGATGCACAGTCAACCCTTGGCACCAGCAGTCATGAAATTAAAAGACAAGTTGCACTGGGAAAATCTGTGAAAGACCTCTCAGAGCTAGAATGTTAAAGCGGAAGGTGTCAGCTAGAGACTAAGGTGGCCTGATTCAGGCATGGTCTTCTCGGTCACCCACTACACGTCAGAGAGCTGGACAATGAATATGGTAGAAGAATCAATGCTTTTGTGTTGTGGTGCTGGAGAAGCATACTGAATATACACCAAGGACTGCTAAAAGAACAAACAGGTTCATCCTGCAAAGGGTGAAACCAGGCTGCTCCTTGGAGGCAAGGATTCTGAAGGTCCTTCTGACATACTTTGGGCATGTTGCAAGGAGGGATCCCTCCTTGGAGAGGGACATCATGTTTGAGAGGGTGGAGGGACAGTGCAAGAGAGGAAGACCCTGAATGAGATGGATTGACCCAGTGACTGTGGCAATGGTGTCAGGTGTGTCAGAGATGGTGAGGTTGGCTCAGGACAGGGCAGGGTTCACAGCTCTTGTTCAGAGGGTCACTATGAGTGTAGTCAACCCGATGGCCCATAACAAGTAGTTAAACATGGCGAAGGTTGAAGCATCTGGGTGGGCGCTCCATCGATTCCTGGCACTTGTGTTTCACCGATGCCTTCAGTGCAGCGTGCGCCCGGTCCTTCACAGCGTCGTTCTTGATCACATGCGGCTTCCTTAAATGGTACAGTGTTGACCAGTGCTTTTGGTGCAGTGATTCTGTGAATTGTGAATTCCTCCCGTCTTCTCTTGATGCTTCCTGTATCATTTAATATTTTGATCATAGAATCTTTCAGTATTGCAACCTGAGATTTGACTTCTTCCTTCCTCTCTCCAGCTTCACAGATGATGGACGTTTTGCCCTCCTGGTTTTCTCAGTCCAGGGCTTTTTGCCGAGTTCGTCATCCCACTGGGTCTTCTCGTGCTTCCTTTTGCCCTCTCTCTGGCCTCTAACGGCATCATTTCTCTCGTTCACTTTTGCTTCTCTGGGTCTGTACATGTGGGAGGGTCTTTTCTGCCATCAGGTCTAGTCCTTTTTTCCCGTTTTGTTTTTTTTTTTTAGTGACTTTTTGTTTTCTTTGTGGGTGATATTCTTGAGCCAGCTCACAGTCCGTCTGGTCTTCGATCAAAGTGATCAGTACATCACATCTCTTATGAGGGGATATACTCAAGGTTCTCTTTGCCTCTCTTGAACTTGTTTGCATTCTCTCCAGTTTCACCTTGGACCTGCATATGGAAAAATTGATGGCCCGTTCCACAGTCGGTCTCTGACATCATTCTGATGACACTGAGCACCCAAAACTTAGACTGCTGTCAAGTTGCTTCAGACTTAAAGGAACCCTAAGTAAACCTCCCCGCTCCGTGAGAGGGTTTCAAGACTATCATCTGTACAGAGGCCAAGTGCTACATCTTTTTTTCTTGAGGAGTAACTAGTGGATTCGAATCACCAGCCTCTTAAGAGACAGTTGCTTAACCATTAGACCATCAGGGCTTCCTGGACACCTAATGAGTCACCTTAACAGATATGATGCAGTAGATGGTTCACTTTTTAACCAGCCTTATCCGGGTTGCAAACATTGTAATGAGGCCCTGGGGGAGTCGTGTTCTGTTTGAGGCACATGATGCATGTACCAAAATGTGGTATGCCGTTAAACAAGTCTTGGAGCACTTCAGAAGATGGAATTAATGGAATTAAAGTCAGAATCAGTAACAAAATACCTTAAAATCCCTGAGTTTCGAAATTAAGCGACAAATTCGTAAATAGCTCACAAACCAGAAAAGAAGCACACAGTTGGAATAAAGTGTTTTAAGTGAGTGATAACTAAAATAACACGTATCAATTCTCATGGGATGCATTTAAAGCCAGGTGTAGAGGAAATTTGTAAATCTTAGTGTGTATATTACAAAGAGACTCCATATCTAAGCTCCTGTCTCAGGAAAATAGAGAACAGCAAATTAAAGCCAGAGGAAATGGTGAGAAGACATAATGAAAGAGCAGAATTCAGTTAAACAGAAAGTGAATGTGTCATAGAAAAATCACCAAACCCCAACCAGGAGAGTCTTCCATTCTCTTTTTGAAATTAATAAACCCTTCACAAATCTGGCCAAGGAAAGAGCAAGAACACGCGTTCCCAGGGTGAAGTGAAAAGGGGGGGACATCACTACAGAAAGAACTTTACAACGTTACACATGACATGCCAGACACTGGTTTTGATTTATCAAAACCAGCACATGAAGAAATAGCACACCCCCATCAAGGGAATGGGAATGCCCATCCTGCCTACAGACTTCTCTGGGGGCATCATGCCCGCTCCCCCTCTGCACCCCTGGTGGTCTCTGTCATCCCCAGATGGCCACAGGTCTGTTTTCTTCACGCTGGATTAGTTTGTGTTTTGCACAGTTTTCCATAAACACAGTTGTGCCTTCTGTGATCTTGTTGTTTGACTACTTGCATTCTGTCATGATTTTGTGATGCGTCATGTTCTCGCTGGCGACCATGCATCTTTCTTTTAAGGCTGAGTGTGTTTACTCTGTGTGGGTCTGGCCTGGTTTGCTTGTCCATTCACCTGTAGATGGACATTTGGCTTGTTTTCAACATTGGACTAAATAAAGCCGTGGTAAGCGTATGCAAAAAAGGAATCCTAACCTGGCCTAGGCACCCATCTGTTAAAGGCATGGGCTGTGTAGTGGGAAACCCTCCCCAAAGGCAGGCTCTATGAGTGGGAGACCCTCCCCAAAGGCAGGCTCCATGTGGACTGCTACACTTCCAGGCTGATAAGGATTTATTCTAATTTACACTGAATCGCCCTCTCAACGTATGGGAAGAGAACACTTCTTAGCTCCTTTATTACAAGGACAGCAAAACCTCGTTATCAACACTCAGTTAAAGACATTATTGTTGTGAAGTGATACCAGGTGTCTTCCAGCTCATAGTGACCCTGTGTCCATCTCCTCATGACCCTGCACCCATATCATAGTGACAGTGTCCATATTGTAGTGACCCTGCACCTGTCTCATAGTGACCCTGCATCCATCTCTTGTGACCCTGTGTCCACCTCTCATGACCCTAAGTCCATCTCTTGTGACCTTACATCCATCTCATGACCCTCCCTCCATCTCCGTGACCCCGCGTCCATCTCCTCATAACAATAGAATCCTGCCCAGTCCTGCTTGGTGCTCATGGTCTCAGTGCCGGGCCCATCGGTGTAGCCAGTGTCCATCCATCTCACCGAGAGTCTCTTCTCTGACTCCTTCACCTAATCAATGTCCTTCTCTGGGGACTGGTCTCTCCTGATTCTGACATGAGGACACTGTCTTCCCGTCCTCGTTCCTAAGGCTCATTCTGACTGCACTTTCCAGGACAGCGGATCCATTCTTCTGCCAGCTCTGATTCGTTCATAATGCTGAGGCAGCAGGTCTTCTTTCTTCTTCCTCCTTCTTGGGCATGACGGGAAATGAAGACCACAGGCCGGTGTCTTGTGACTCACAGCACCCCACTGGGTCTCTGTGAGTTGGAATCGACTCAGTGGCAACAGATTTGGTGTTTTGGGATTTCTTATGAAGATAGATGCAAACTTTTAAGCAAAGCAAAAATGGATTCATGAGTGTGTCTAGTGTTACGTTAAGCAGGGGCTTCTTGGGGACATTGGTCAGTGGGGACATGGGTGGTTCGGTGGTAGGAGTCTCGTCTTCCACGTGGGACACTGGGGTTTGATTTTAAGCAGCCGCCTCACAGGTCACCACCACCAGTGTGTGCTCGGAAACTTGAGTGTTGTTGTTATGAACATGCTTCAGCAAGTTGCCAGGCCAATGCGGAAGAAAGGCAGAAAGTCAACTGACTACAGAAGCGGCCTGAGCTCCTGGGGGCAGTGGTCAGTGTGGCACCTGATGGGGGCCCACGAGAGTTCTGTGGGGGCAGCAGTCAGCACGGCATCTGACGGGGGACTCTGAGAGCTCTTGGGGTGCAGTGGTCAGCGTGGCACCTGATGAGGGCCGTGAGAGCTCCTGGGGGGCAATGGTCAGCGTGACACCTGATGGGGGCCATGAGGGCTACTGGGGGCAGTGGTGAGCGTGACACCTGATGAGGGGCCGTGAGAGCTCCTGGGGGGCA